CAGGGCGGGCGGCGGGCGTAACATTGCCGTGCATCACACATGCAGCTTGAGCCGCGCCGACGAGCACGCCGCGCTGACCGCCCGCTACATTACATGAAGAGGAAGGGGCGACCAACTGACGTGATCCGTATGGTTAACGTGATATAGGCAATGCGCTGTTGGCTCTGCGGCTCCCTGGTTTTCCTCACTCCATTTAATCACCTTACTCTATGTGATTCCATCACGTTTAAAAAAAAAACTGAATCATTTTCTGTCATTTTCAATCATGATTTAATCATTTTTAACCATCTTCCAGTCATTTGAAATCAAGTCACCCTCAGTACATTTCGCCAGTTTTCGGTGATTTGGTTATAATTCATCATTTGCGCACTGTACTGGGAAAATCTAAGTATGCGGGACCCTCATCGCTCTGGCCTTTCCAGCTCCCAATTCTTATCTACCCTCGGCAAGAAGGGAAAAGGACTCGCACGAGACAACACACCTAATAAGGCCGGCAGGGCTTTGCAGGGTGGACTGGTTGCGCTATCAGTTCGTGCCGGGCGTCCTGCATGACATTCGGCAGCGTGACTGCCTGCCAGCGTGAGAGCCTCGCCGCCGTGGTCAGCCCCGGACGGCCCGGACTTGGACAACAATTATTTTTTCGGAAGACGAAATTCCAGTGCTCTTGTGCTATCCCCCGGCCCCGTGTCAGGCAGCGTCCGTGAGAGAACCCTGAAGGCCGTATGGCAGTAATTCCTTGTGTGACATACACACAGGCGGTGGATATTTTCACACGACGCAGTGGTGGCGCTCGACATGACAACACACACACACACACACAAACATACACACACGGCGCAACATACCTCGAACGCCTGTTTTTATTCCTTCACGATATCGTTATACGACCCGGTTTTGTGAGTATTAAAATATTTATTTCTGACTTGGGTGTTTGGTGTAAAAATGAAAATGTACAGTCTAGAGGGTTGGCCGCCGTGGAAAGGGCTCGGGGATCAGTTTTGGCGCGAAGTCCAGTAAGGGAGCTTCCCTGACGCCAGCCTATTGTTTTGCATCTCGGCTTCGGCCCGCGCTTCGGCCCCAGACGATGCCCTCTGACATGCATTTCCTCTGCAGTCGGATTGAGGGATCCACTCGCCGTTCCCTCTTGCCGGAACCATTAGCCAGTCGAACGTGAGAAGTGGTGTGATGTGTGGCGAGGTATAAAGGTGTGTTTTACGGTGTTCCGGCGTTCCAGCGTGTTCCGACGTACGACGGCGGGGCGGGGCCGGCGGGGCGGGGTGACGCCCTGTGAGTGCCGCACCACCACCGTCATCCCGGAGTGGTGGTGACCCTGGCCGGGAGGCCCGCCCCGCCGCGCCATGGCCCTGCCAAGATGCCTGACTCAGCCTGTCCAGCACATCAACCCGACCTGCCCTAACCCCGCCACGCCCCGCCCCGCGACGTCCCGCCTCGCCACGCCCCGCCACCGACGTGTGAGGGCAATGTCGTGGTATTATTAGGTTCCTCTCTTGGGAGGGAGACCTGTTTTTTTGTGGCCAACAGCGCATCCCGGCCGCTGGGGCTCAAGTGAGCTCAGGGCGGGGCGGGAGGGAGAGGGTTATGAGGAGGTGTCTCTTTTTTCTTGACCATATTTTATTTTTTCGCAAACAATCTCGGCTGCAGTGTGTGAGAGGGCGTGTATATAAGAGTCGCCGAAAAAGAAAGAGGAGGGGAAAATGGCCGGAGGGATGTTAGGCACGTGCGCGTAACAGAAGGGGCAGTACGCGTTGCGTTCAACGTTGTCTCGGCTAAAACTGGTGGGCGCGCTGTTTCTAAATCTCTAGTTTCATGACGGAAACGCCGTCGCACATTTACGACCGAGGCGCCCGTCACCTTTCGGAAGCTGTACTTACTGGGCTGTTCTGGCGGTATGCCTTGGTTGGCCTCCATCTCCTTGCTGACCGCGGAGCCGCCTCCACCCTTGCTCGGGGTGGAGGCCGCGGACACCACCGCCGGCGATGACCCGGCTGACGCTGGCTGGCTCATGGCGTCCAACGCTGACACCTATCCGGGCACTCTAAACTGTGCTCGCTGCACTCGATGTTAGTCACTTCACTAGAGGCCACCCTTCTCCTATGGATGCCGTCACTTAATCACTTTCACTCCCTGCCACCTCTACTCCGATCACGCTGATCACTGTGGCCACCTAATGGTCACCCCCACTCACTCCGTGGACCACTGCCTCTTGCTGTACTCTGGCCCCTTCACGAACAACTGCGCCCTCGGCACTCGGGTTTCTCGGCACGCTCGGACTTTGGACGCGACACGGTGCGGCACGCGCGGACAGCAGCGCTGCACTGGTCTGGACACAGAAGACACAACGGGCGCGTTTACAAACAAGAGGAGGAAGGGCCCGGCGGCGGCTGCCTGGCGGCTGCACTAGCTGCTCGCCATCCCGGTGTGCCCCCTCCGCTACCTGGATGCGGTGCAGTGCCCCCTCCCCCGTCCTCCGTGCCCCTC